CTGTTGCCCAACATTGTTGGTCCGAAAATCACACTTTCAATTTTTCTGCTACGAAAATTATTCAAAAAACATCTTCCATTGGAGAACTGGATTTTCTAGAGGCATTTCACATTCAAAAAAATCTTTCTGTTCTAGTTAACGATCCTAATTCCAATCTATCTTTGCCTTCGGCCTTTAAAGAAATTATGTTTTAGTTCTGGTTTCATCAACAGATGGCGCCACTAGGCTCGTATTTCTGTCCAGGCTTTCTTATCTTATCATTATATTTACCTTATCTCGTTCATTTGCGTTTTTGCAGCTAGCTGAGGATGATGGTTCGGTAAAACCATCGAAAACTAGTCCTGTGAAAATTTGAAAAATATAACGCTGATTTTTGTTGTTTGACTTCTGAATTAGTATTTGTTCGGCGGTGTGTTATTGTGTCTTAATTATAGAATCCCCAAACAGGGCTTATTTTGTGCTTTCTTTTTTTCCACGTGGGTTTTCGTCATCTTGCGTTTGTATGTGTTTCGGAGCCGAGAACGGACTTATTTTTCTCTTCCTTTTTTTGCACGTGGTGTGGCCTCCATTTTGTGATTGCATGGGTTACGGTAAGGGTACTACTTTTTGCAATTTTTGAATTTATGTTGTGTTTCGCATATTTGGATATTGTGATTTTGCTTTGCCTGATTTCATGCATTTTGGTTGCAAACGTTTTTTGCTTTTGGATTCGTTTCAGTGTGGGATTTTTTCTGCTGTTTTGTGTGTGCTTTATGATTGGTTAGTTAATTTAGTTTGCATTGTTTACATGCCTTCATCCATTAATCGTTTCACTAAATTACGCCTGAAACGGCAAAAATTCCTGAAACATCTTGATTTTTTACTTAAGTGTAAATGTAAAAAATTAATTCCCAATATCATTCAAATCAAATCTAATCGAAAACCTTCCAGTCGCGTTTCAAGAATTCTGTTAAACTGCAAGCTTGCCTTACTTCGGTCCATCATAAGGGATACACGTCAACAATTGTCCAAAATTGAACATGAGCTCTATAAGCTTTATCTGGAACTCGCTAATTCATATCTAAAATTCACTGCCCTTGAACAAAAGTCTTGGTCTAGAACGGAGAATGCAGTTAACCGTCATAAAAACACCCTTGCAGTTAAATTCGAAAAACTTCTTTTACAGTCTTCCAGTTCAAGTAGTTTAAAAAATCTTCCCATTGTAAACATTAAGCCAATAGTTAATATTTCTAATGTTAGTTTATCAGAAGAACAAGAGAGAATTCCAAAATATAATTTTAACTTCTCTCAAACCTGTAAACCCTCGATTCCAAAGATTTTGGCTCCTATCTCGGAAAAGCTTTGAAGTTCAGTAAAGTTTCAGATTCACAGAAAAAAACGATTAGGCATCTTATCCCTCACAATGTGAAATTCAATAGTAAACCTTTGAAACCAATTCTAACTGCGAGAGAAAGAGCTACAATGTGCGAAATTCATTCTAACCCGGATATTATCATTTCAAAGGCCGACAAAGGTGGCCAGATAGTCGTCATGGATAAGAAAACTTACATCGATGGTGTCACTAAACTTTTAAACGAAGGACCATATAACCCGATCCCTAAAGATCCTTCACCTTCGGACCTGTCAAAAATGAAAACTGCGATCAACTCTTCACAAATCATTTCAAGCAACTTAAAACATTCGCTCATCCCATCTGTTGCGAATTCTGCTAGATTATATGCTCTTCCCAAAATTCATAAAAGTGGTATTCCTTTCCGCCCTATTGTATCAAATTTAGGTACTGCCTTGTATCCATTAGATAAATATTTAGTTTCTAGATTTTCAACTCTATTAGACAATAACATTTACATCATAAAAAATCCAATAGAGTTTGTAAAAAATTTTAAAAACATTTCTCCTAGAAATTTACTCATGGTTCTTTTGACGTAAAATCATTATTCACCAATGTCCCAGTGGAGGGTGCATTAAGATGTCTAGAAACCAGACTTCGCGAATTTCATTTCTCTTGCATCGAAATTGATGAGCTAATTTCTCTCACTCAACTCTGTTTGAAACAAACACATTTTGTTTTCCAAAATAAATATTACAAGCAAACTGAGGGATTAGCCATGGGTAGCCCCCTCAGTCCCATCCTGGCTGATATCTACATGCATTATTATGAATCAAAATTGTTTGAAACTTTAAACTTCCCGGCATGGTTCCGCTACGTAGACGATACTTTTACCCTGTTTGAAGGTAATAAAGATGATTTAAATAGAGTTCTTTCAACAATGAATTCTATTGATCCTGCTATTCAGTTCACTTTTGAACTTGAGACTTGCAATTCTCTTCCGTTTCTCGACATTCTGGTCACACGTAACACATCCAACTTCAGTACTACAGTTTACCGTAAACCTTCATCGGTTTGCCTTCCACCACACTTTAAATCATGTCATCCGACTAAACAAAAGTTAGCTTCATTTTATTCCTATGTTTTCCGTGCTCTTCAAGTTTGCTCCTCCAAACTAGCCCTTGATGAAGAACTAAATTATTTAAAAGCAATAGCTATTGACAGGGGCTTTTCACCCAACATTATTAATCAAGCAGTTAAAAAATTCTCATCTCAACACACTAAAAGGCACACTTTTGTTTTAGGAGATTATACAAATTCTGTTGTCATTCCTTTCTTTCCATCAATTAGCTATAAAGTTGCACATATTTTGCAGAAATTTAACTTTCGGGTCGTTTATTCTCCCATCAATAAAATTCCGAACTCTATACTCAAGGACCCCATTCCGGATATGAATACATAGGGTATTTATAGGATTCTTTGCCAGTGTGGTTTAATTTACAGTGGCCAAACTAAGGGAGCCTTAAATTTTCGCGTCTAGGAACATGAGGCATACGTTAGAGAAAAGGAAACACAGAAGTCTTCTGTTGCCCAACATTGTTGGTCCGAAAATCACACTTTCAATTTTTCTGCTGCCAAAATTATTCAAAAAGCATCTTCCATTGGAGAACTGGATTTTTTAGAAAAATTTCACATTCAAAAAAAAAAAAATCCTTCTGTTCTAGTTAACGATCATAATTCCAATCCATTTTGCCTTCGGCCTTTAAAAAAATTATGTTTTAGTTCTGGTTTCATCAACAGATGGCGCCACTAGCTTATTTTCTGTTCAGGTTTTCTTATCTTATCTGATCATATTATTATTTATATATATTTTGTATAATCTGTATTACGTATTTAATTTGTTATTGTAATTAATGTATTATGCGTGTTAATTAATTAAGCACTAATGTCAATGGCTATCCTATCTCGTTCATTTGCATTTTTGCAGATGAGGATGGTGGTTCGGTGAAACGATCGAAAGTAGTCCTGTGAAAATTTGAAAATATAACGCTGATTTTGGTTGTTTGACTTCTGAATTAGTATAGCATTCTATATTTGATGTTTAAAGTATTGCAATAGTAAATTTCGTTACGAAATAATTTGAGTAATTTTGTGCTTTGTATTATTTATATATATTTTGTATAATCTGTATTACGTATTTAATTTGTTATTGTAATTAATGTATTATGCGTGTTAATTAATTAAGCACTAATGTCAATGGCTAAGTAGAATATAAATCCGACAAACTCCCGATGCGGCCCTTGTAGAGCACCGGGGAGTGCTACTCGAGTCAGTTGCACGAGCCGGACAATACCTGATCAATTCTATGTAAGCCGCCCGGGTGTCCGAACCTACTTTCACCTGTTCACCCGTAGCTAGCTTCTCTACCTTAACAAATCGCTAGCAGCAGGTTATATGGCATGAATTAAGAATTGTTCAACAGTATATGAAAATGGCAGTTCAATGAAAGAAACTACTTATGCCAGGTGGAAAATAATTGTTGTAGATTAAGGACGGAAAATAATTTAATATGATGACAATTGCTCTTCCCATACTAAATAAGGACTCGTAAGACAGATTAAAATATCATCCAAAATTATGTGGAAGAAGTCAAATTCTCAAGTGCTTTGCAAATGTGAGATTATTTTAGATATTGTGGGGGTGATAATTTTGTTTCGTATGATGAGAATGTAATGGACGCAAAGGTAAGGGAACATTACCATATTTGGAATTCGTTCGGCTGAATTTAAATATTCTCGGACTGTAACAGGATATGATTATCTTTACTACTCAGTGACTGTGGTAATTTCCCTGCAACATGCGAACTGCATTTATAAGCGAAAACTGATAATTAAACTATTGTTTTAGAACGAATTTGGAAAGACAATTATTTTGACATATCCTTTTTCTATAAAAAGGAAGACGATTTCAAACTCCTGCATTTTCACGTATGTAAAATTAGGAAAAGAAAGTGAAATTTGTCCTTAAAATTTGGTGACTAAAATCTCAAATTAAACATCGAATAAAACATGGATTGAGTTCTAGAAGCTTTACTGCTATAGAATGAAACTAGAAAAACAATAAAATTGAGTCATGAAATATATTTGCTTCTTTAAATATATATATATATATAATTACTTAAAGTGAAACCAACTAATATTTGTAATATGAAAAGAAAGGTGTTACCAATAGGATAATATGATACTACTGCACAGATAGTTGTATTCCGAACTCATACGAGTATAAGCGTACGTACATTGGTATACATATGATCCCATTCGATCTACCCAGTGATGTGCAGCAGTCCATTGATCTACCATCAATGACTCAGTGCAATAACCATACTAAATTCAAATAAAAAATTTGAATTCAATAAGTAGATTTCATGGACTTTCATTTTGTTAAACATCTAATATGTGACTTGAAATTTTTTTTTTTTTTTTTTTTTTTTTTTTTTTTGTAGAAACAGCAGTAATTTTTTCCAGGCATTAATAATTATTACCAAGAAATTTCTATAAACGAATGAAGCAGAGATTGGTCGGAATGGACATTCATATGACTGAAAGGTTTCAAATTCATATTGTTTTTTTAAATAGCATTGATCAGTTTTCGAAATTTAAACCGGACTTACTTCCATCATAACGCAGCATATCTGATAGATGCATTTGCTGATGGCTTCTGCAGTGCCCGAAAGTGTGACAGCTCGTTCCGTCGAGTTAGGCAGCATTTCGCTGGCTACTTGAATCGAGGCTCCTGTGACCTGAAAAATACCAGAGTTAAATTACTTTCAAGATATCAAACTAAAATAAGATATCCGGAAGTCCACTGTTAAGCAACCTAACAACTAAATCTTAAAGGAAAGTCACCTCTCTAATTTCCTTGATTTTAGAGCCACCTTTACCGATAAGGGAACCACACTGACTAGCAGGGACGATGAGCCGCAGAGTGACTGGAGGTTTCGGAACATTGATTCCAGCAGTTGTATTCTGCAGATCCTATAAACAAACAAGTTGGAGTTATTAGTTTGAAATTATATTTCATATAAGAGAGTGAAAGCTTTAAAGAATTTTACCTCTTCGAATTTCCGTGCAATGAGAGAAAAAGCCTTGAGAATGGCATCAGTGCACCCAGTTACAGTAACTATACGTTCCGGACAAGATCCGTCAGATATATTGATTTTTGCACCACTCTAAAAGTGAAGAAATTATTCAAAATTCATACATTTTAACTGAGTAATGTAAATTCAATGCGTATCTTATTAATGTATTCAATTAAAATGTTTCAACATTTCTTATCTGTTTGTATGTATTATAAATGCATTTTCATGGTGAAATGAGATCTTATCAAATTATAGCATTTATTGTTGCAGGAATAGTGCCTAATTAGCTTGTTTGAAGCGTATGCCAATAACAATTTGCAACACAATGAAATTCCTCATACGTAAGAAAACTGTTACATTATTAATAACCACTGCTATGTACAGTTTCAGTTTTATTATTTCGTTAAGAAAAGTGTTGAAGATAATCTGAAGATTTAATATAAATTGGTATAAAGATAACCGCAGTAAACTAATGCAGTATTTACGAAAAGTGCTGCGTGGTTTCCGATTGAGAAACTTTCTTTCTTTCTATCGGCTAACATGAATATGCAAGGAATCAAAACCCAGAAGTATTATAAAATAATGCACGAAACTACTTCAAATGAAACACGTTCCAATACATGTTTTTCGTTAATATTACGCCAATATTTTCGTTATTTTTATGAATGTTTGTAAGGTATTTCTCCCACTTTCCTAGCATGCCTTCGTGGTGTAGTCGTTCTGCACGCCGGGCCGGTATTCCAGAAAACCGTGGCTCGATTCCCGGCGAAGGCGGTTGCTAATTTTTCATCTCTCCGGCCACCAAAAAATTACCTAATGTCTCTACATGTTTTTACTTCTTTATTTGCGATGTCTTTCCTAATTCTCTATCATATCTCATATTATATTATTTCAATATTACTAAGGAAAATGTGTCAAAAAACAAATGATGAAAACAATTTTACTCTTTATTTTTTATGAAAAATGGGTCCAAAGGATTGCGAATATCCGGATATTTTTGTAAATGTTTTGTTAATATTTTATGTTATATAATATCAGTAACTGCATTAATTCTGTTTTCTGTGCTTAAATAGAAATCAGTATTGGTTTGCATAAAATATGCAGTTTATGCTAGCACAAGATTCCATATTGGTTCAGCCTTCTGCAGTACATGAAAGTAAAATGAATTTCAGATCTGTATAAAGCACACTGTATTTTGTAAAAGTGTTATGTAAAATTTATTGAAGCAAACAATATTTTGGCCGCTTTAAGTTGAATCTGTTTCCTTTACTGGTTGGCAGTATACATTTAAAATGTAGATTAGCTTCCAACTCTCGCTTTTAAGGAAACTCTTTTTGCTTCCGAGGAAATTAGTTCTTAAAGCAACTTTTAGCAACTTAAAGCAACTTCGAATTTCAGCATAAGCAGGAAATTTTCTTTGCGAGTAGTCTTGATTTGAGTAGATTCTTCTGCATGCGTAATAGTTTACCAAGGCCTTTTTATTAGAAAACAAAATAAAATGAAGGATTAAAATGATTTAACAATAAACGCGTAGTTTTGAATATATTACAAAAGGTATAGTGTATTTAATTTAGCAAAACTAATATTAATGTTTGTCTTAATGCTATTTAAGGAGCTAAATTTTACTGCTTCAAAGAATATGAAAATTAGATTCCCTTTCTGACAGGCATGATATTTTAGAAGAACGGTTCTCTAGAATATTTTAAAAGTTTTAAATTTTCCTGCGAACTTGCAGTAAAATTATACTGTAGTTAAATCAATTTAAAGTTATTAATGAAAAATATATTAATGCATAAGTTATATCCTGATTAGAAACCAATAAAATAGGAATGCCAGTGTTAGTTCATCAATTGCGGGTTTAACTGTTTGGTATACATTTTTAGTACGGTTTGTCGGATTTTGTTGCATAGTAATTTTTCGAAGCCTTGAAAAGATAATCGTGGGAAACTGAATGGTAATATTAAGTTATGTTAAATGATAAATAAGTTTACTTTAAAATGTTAAAAAAACCTAAAAGACACAACAAATTAATCCAAAAATTTGAATTTAATCTTGATATTTGTAAAGTTTTTTTTTAACTTAACAGAACATATTACCTGAACCTGAAGTTTAAGAGCAATAAAATATTAAAAATAGATGTTGCAAGATACTAGACAGATTAAAAATTGATAGCAAACATGATGCTTTCAAACACATCATGAATATTTATAAATTTCAATAAAGGGCTTCAAAACTGCTTGTGACTATTTTTTTTTATCTTGAGAAAAATCAAAAGAGCTTTTCAATACTTTTTCAAAATTTATTTGCAGTTAATTTTCCTTTATGCTTACAACCAGAATAAACATCGCTTTACAGCGAGAAATAATGTTGAATTACTGGTATACGTTTGTTTCATTATCTTGACAATTTCTTTAAATCCAAAATTTCCATTTAAATAAACCTATGCAAATTTGGATCTAATGCGAAGTTTTCATTTCAGTTCTGAAAATGTTACTTATGCCAAATGTATGACGATCGTGTGGTGTAATGCAAGACTTAATTTTAATGCTTTCCGTATTTTTTATGAAGTGAAGCAAGACATAAATCTTGAAGATTAAAGCGAAAGTTTGAGAAGTATTATATTTACCGATTCAGTAATTCAGTTACAATCCTAAATAAAATAACAGCTATTAATGTCAAAGTTGAAATAATTCCTAACGATATAATTCCTGATTCCATAAAGAAGTGAAACATATATTAAAAAAGTCTTATAGGAAAATGTTCGTTTGTTTAATTGAAAGGGCAAAGCAAAGAAGGATTATCTACCCTAGGGGCCGAATTAAAGTGTGATAGTCGATAATTCGTCGTCACCTAAATTCGGTCGAGTGGGTCTTTTGCCTCTTCTCAGTCGCTCTTTAGATAAGAAGGAGAATATAAGGAATTATCAACTTTCCCCATACGTAATCTCTTGTATAAGTCGTAGCACGTCCGGCTTGCAATTGGAAGATCCATGATTCAAAACCAGGTGAGGACGTTAGTTGGTTTTCTTATCTTTCTCTCTCCAAATGTCTTTATTTGCTCTACATTGTGTGCAATGTTTTTAATATGAAAATTTATTTGGAATTAATATGCTGAAATGCAATTAACTGCATAAATGAAACTTGTCTAGGAAATGTCATAACAAAAATGTCAACGGTTCTCTCCCTAACTTCCCTTGGACTGAGCCGTAACTCCTCACTTGTAGTTTTTACTCTAAGAAAGCACGTTAACCTTGTTGCAGCGTACGCCATTCATCAAAAAGGCTTTCTAAAGACGATCATAAATTGAAAGTAGGCAGCTGCGTAGAACATAAGCATTTTGTTTAAGCTAATTTAATGCACGAAAGTCTACTAGGGATTTAACAAGGATGTTCCAAAGCGAAATATATCGTACATCATTTTCTTCTACTATTTTTTCAAATAACGTTTATCTTAGAATAAGAGATGTGGATGCAATCTTTGTTCTTTTGTATACATATTTAATTTGCCTAGGTAACTGTATACCTGGTTACCCCAAATAGCACAGCAACATCGTAACGTCGTTGCAAACTCGTCGCGGATGTCGTTGCAAAAACGTTGCAATATGTCGTCTTTAAGACGCCCAGATGTCCGTGAACATCCACTGTTTTGACACCGTTGCAAAGACGTCTTTATTACGTCTTTGCAGATAAGGTTTTTGTCGCATAGACGTCGTTATTGCGTCTTTCGCAGGTGATATTTTGGTTGTGAAAGCATTGTATCACGACGTCTTATAGACACCTAAATGTTCGCAAAATTCCACCTTTTTGCAACAGTTGTGAAAATGTCGTTATTATGTCCTTGTGTTACATATTGATTTATACAGAAAAATAAGCTTAATAATTAATATATTTTGTAGTCCTTGTATTTATCTAAAGTTTAAATATTTTATCATTTCCTGAAAACCAGAAGATAGTACAATTTTTTCTCCTTAGACCAAATATGCATAATTAATAATAGCCTTAATTATTTTCAGTACTTTAAACTATAGTTTTTAAATTTCTCTTTAGACTAAATATGCATAATTAATAATAGTCTTAATTATTTTCAGTACTTTAACTATATTTTTTAAATAACTTAAATTCTAAGTTATGATTATTTAAGATTTCATCATTTTTTTTCCTTAAGTGAGAGTAATTATGAAAGTGGTTATTATAAATATATAACATAAATAGCAAGTTTTAAGTAAATAAAACTCAATTAGACATAAATAAAAGTAAAGATGCATATGTGGGTAAAAAAAAGAGCGTTTCGGATAACAGCAATTATCACATTTATTTCTGTTAAATCTCAGAGGCATTGAAAATTGCCCCTGTCATGATAAATTAGGAAGTGGTTTTTAAGGTAACATAATCAGTAATTTACCTGAAGTCAAGTATAAATTTATTCGCGTTTCACAGTAAAAAATATAACCATTAACTTCTATATCTCCAAGATATGCAAATGAAAGACAGTATAAAGTAGTTAATAAATGTGATCAAACATATTTGATACAAAAACATACCTAAATCTAATAACTTTCCATATTCATATCTAAAATGAAATAATAACCTTACAAACAACATACATGACAGCACTATTTAAGAAAAAACATGAACTAGTAGTGTTTGAAAGTATAAATAGCAGTAGGAAGGTAGCAGAACTAAAATTTCCAATTAATAAAAGAATATTTGTGTTTTTTAAATATTAAGCAATTAAAAGTGCAATAATTATGGATTGCAGTATTTACTAGTAATGCTGATGGTTCTTAACACCATTTCTTTCGATCATATGTAAATGTATTTACCTATTTTTAGTTTCTACATTTTAGAGTAGTGCTAGATTACAATGATCATTTCAGGCACTTTTTATAATCAATCACTTTCCTTTTGATACTGTACAGAAATAATTTAAATAATATAATATACGATAGTAAGCTAATTACGTTAAAGTAAGCTCTTCGTTAAATAGCACACGATGAAACATTTTGTTTCTATTATTATGAATTTCTTTGTTATCACAAGCACATAAAATGTAAGCAAAGAATATACTTAAATTATGAATATATTATACTTA